GCCGCGAGTCCCGCTCCGCCTGGCTGACGGCGACCCTCCCCGGCCGACCCGCGCCGCCTCCCCGCCCGCCGGCTCCGGTCCGCGAACCTGCGGTTCCTTCTCCACCTCTCGCTCCTTCACCTCTGCCGCCTTTGCTTCTCCGCGGCTGGGCTTCTCCTCTCCTCCCCTCCTACTTTTTGCCCCCGCTTCCCTCTTTCTCCTCCGCCCCCTGCTTCCCACCGCCCCCCCCACCCCGCCCCGGCTCGGCGGCCTCTCCCCCTGGAAATGAAATCCCCCCTCACCGGGATCCACGCGTCAGCCGCTGCCACCTCATTGGTCCCCAAAGCAGTCCGGCGGTCCAGCCTGAACCAGGAGAAGGGACTCGGGGAGGGGAAACGGAAGGTGGGCACAGTCCTGGGACACTGCTGAGCTTGAGAAGCCTTTGGCAGAGGATGTGGCGCTGGCACAGAGTCCTCGCCCCCACTCCTCCCTCCCGCTCGCGAGGCTCGCCCCCTCCAGGACTTCGCCAAGGAGTGGATGGCAAGGGAGCTTGGCTCGGACTGTCCTTTGCTCCCGCGTGGGTGCTGGATGGAGACTTCGGTCTGAAATAATGGCTTTTTAATTCGACAACGTTTACTATTCCACGGGCCCTGCAGTAACATTAACTTCACTTTTACCGTTTTTCTTAATGGGAGGCGGGGGCGGGGGTGGGGGTGGGGTAGCTGGATGAGGCGTGTGAGCAAGCCGGCAGTGGTGACTGCCTCTTTCCTTCCTTATTTCCGAAATGAAATCAGGGAGAGTGGAAGCATTTATGGTAACATTGGCTCAGGACCATCTGTCTTTTGCCCTTTGGAAAGCTTTAAATGGTTTTTAAGAAATCTCTATCCCAGGAGAGATGACTCGGAGAAGTTCACTCAGCAGAACTATTGAGGGCCACTCTTTTGCTCCAGGGTGTGGCTGCTTGCCTGATGTTGCCCCAGAGAAAAGTGCGAGGAAGCAAGTTCTCGTCCATCCATCCTCTTTGTTCCCTTGCCAGTTCCAAGGGAGCGAGAGTGGCGCCACGATCCTGGGAAACTCAGCGCTTATCTGCGTTAATGGCACTGGGGATATGTAGCATGTGTGAGCCTGTCATTGAAAATACATCATCGATAATATATTTACTACACAGAATAAAGATAATGTACCATATATTAATAGCATATAATGTATTGTTGCATATGTTAATAATAATATATATTTAATACATAGCAACCAGAAACGATCTGGTTGTTTAAAAACTGGAGTTCTCTGGGCGACTGGTGTAATACTGTACACAGTGCCTATAGAATCCTTGGGCCTCTGTTGGCAGGAAAGCGGCAAACTGTAGGATTAGGAGGACATGGCCGGCAATCCTGTCTGGACCTGTTTGGACACGTACAATAATTACTGAAATGAGGACTACCTTGAAGGCCTGCAGAAGACATTTCACATGCTTTTCATTTGATTTCCTATTGAGAAACAAAATTTCTCTCTCTCTGCTTTTTGACATCAACAGCCAAGATTGTGTCCTGCAGTGTTGTAATTTGTTTATTGTAATTGATCATGTATAAGACATCAAGTCCATGCGTGGAAAGTGGCTTCACAATTTTAAAAACACACATTATCCCTCAGTAGAAAAATATAAAATCAGATGACATCATATGGCACTAAAAATACTTGAAAATATTGGGCTTAATTCATTCACATCTGGTTAAAATAAAAATACTGTTTTTTGTGTTTTCCTTTTTTTTTTTTTTTTGCCTAGTATAAACTCTGAGAAAAGCACATCTTGCTTCCATCCAGTAGATATGGATGGAAATTGGTGTCATCCTTGACGTGGTCTATAGAGAGCCTAGTTCCACTGCCATCTTGTTAAGTATTTTGACATTTTAAAAATCAGATTTTGATGTAGCAAAGGAGTAATTTGTTGGAGAATAATAAATGGGCATCTTTTTCCCCACTACCCTGAACGTCTACTAGCTCTAACAGTGAGCCAGGTGTTAACTCGCTTTAAATGGTTCAAGAAGGGAACCGACTATGTCGCATGTACAGAAAATGGGTTGTCCCAGAAAAAAAAAATTCTCTCTTGCTGTGCAGCCAAAGGAATAGCATGCCATAGTGTAAAAGAGCAATCTCTGAGATGTTGTTTCAGATAGTTCCCCCTGTTTTTTTATAGTTCTTTTCCCATGGTTTATTCTCTTTCTAACATGTTTTTGATTACATGTTTACCATTGTTTCTGTGTGATTATTTTTACACTGTGATTTAAACCTGTGCATATATATACTTTCCTACATAGTCTATGAGTTTGTTTTTGCTTGGATCCTTTGTTGGTTTCCTTCTCCTGTGCAGTCTGTTTGTTGAATTCTAAACCCTAAATTGATATACCAAAGTGTGGAGGGAGTGAAGTAATTGGGTTGGAACAGACCTGCTAGATTTTAGATTGGATGGCAAGAAATCCAGCTTCTTCAACATCATGTTGACTTTTTATCAAGTTCATAAACTACTCTGCCTAGTCTTTTAGCTGCTTATTACCAATTACCAACCAGTCTCTGATACTCAGTTTTCCAATCAAGCAGCTGCCTCGGTAGGCTAGTTAGTACCAATGGAATGGCTTGGCGACCACAGCCACTGGACCATTTACCCCTTTTAAGAGTACTCCCCACCCATGCCTACCACTGCACAGGATGTGCACTTTTAAGAGCAGTTAGCGTATTTCTGCTTCGTGTCCATTTCTTTAGAAAAAAAATTATTTATTTGAGAGAGAGCAGTGCATGCTCAGGGGGAGGGGCAGAGGGAGGCAAGCGGACTACCCCCTGAGTGGGAAGCCCCCATAGGGCTCCATCCCAGGAGCCCGTGATCAGGACCTAAGCCAAAATCAAGAGTTAGACGCTTAACCATCTGGGCCAACCAGGCGCCCCTCGTGTCCATTTCTCATCCCCTACTATTCAACTGTCAGTTCCCATCAAGATGCCAGGGAGTTCGTATTACTCATATTTGGATCTTCAACACTGAGCACATTTTTATACTCAAGAGTTAGCGACTGAAAATAATTAGTACAAAAGTGCATTTCACTGTATATCATCTGCCAAAGAGCTGACATCTAATTGTTCATTCAATTATTACAATTAAACATCTGCCTCTATCCTTCTACCCAGTTTCCATAATATATCTTTATTGTGCGACAAACATTGGATAAACCTGCTATAACACTGTCAGTAATCAAGCAGAAAACCATTCTCTTTTTTTCCCCTATTCTTGAAATGTAGATTTTCTTTTATAAAACATCTCACTCTGTATTAAAGGCTCAGAGTTTTTATTCTTGTTGCACAGTTTAGGTTATTGAGGGAAGATCTGTTTGAAGTCCCTTCTGATTTCTGGTTGAGAACTATAATTTGGTTGGGGCAGACTATTTTATTCTGGAGTCACATTTGTTTCATTTGCTTGGACAAATGTATGTAAGTAATTACAAGGTATTTATATCGAGAATCAGACCACACTTCTTACATAAATGTGATTGTATCAGTCAGGATAGGTTAGGTTACACTGTGGTAACAATCATGCAACAACTCAAAACTTTCATAGAATAATAAAAATGTATTTCTTGCTCTCACTAGAGGTCAAGTCCAGGTCAGCTGCATCTCTGTTTCAGGTCTTTTTGATTTTAAGACTCCAGCCAAATGGAACAAGTTGCTAACAGCAATACTGCTCATCACCCTAATGAGGGAAAGAGAACTCAGAAGGGTCTTTAACGAGGAATTAGATGCTGCAGCTTAGGAGTTAGACATGTCACGGCTGCTCACAACTCATTGACTCCACCAATCACAAGAGAACAAGGATGATGGGCAACTGGATGGCTCCGTCGGGTAAGCATCTGCCTTCCACTGGGGTCATGATATCAGGGTTCTGGAATCCAGCCCCACATCAGGCTCCCTGCTCAGTGAGGAGCATGCTTCTCCCTCTCCCTGCTGCTCCCCCTGCTTGTGCTTTCTGTCAAATAAATAAATAAAATCTTAAAACAAACAAGAGAAGAAGGACAGGCATCCTACAACATACCCAGAATATTTGGTAAATAATAAGATGGGGAAATGTGAACATTTCACATTTCACTGTAGATAAAACCAGAGAAAATTCTACTTAGAGCTTAAGTAGGGGAATAGATGTTGGACAGAAGTGTAAACACTATAGCAAATTTTACTTTCTGAAATAATCACCAAAACCATGGTAAAGAAATGTGATTGACAAAAAATGGTGAGGAGCCCAGTTTTTTAACAGTTTTGAGTTTCACAGAAAAAGGACTGGTTATAGGACATACTCACTTGGTTCTCCCCACCTGCACACGCCCCACCCCCCTCATCTTCCACGTGCTCTTTAGAAGTGCTGATCTCTTCTGCATCCGCGTGTCTTCGCCTGCCTGCGCTGAGTGTGACTAGGAATTTGGCATTCCTCATCTGACCAGTTGTCTATGGTCATTTCTTCACTTCCTAGTGATTCCTGCACCCTTCAATATGTCTTTTCTCTGTTAGCTTTTTGCTTCATCTTAGACTTCTAACAAGGTTAGAATTAGAAGGGAGATGAAATTCAAGTCCGACAGCTTAGCTGCTTATAATATAGCAGCTTTAATAAAAGATTTGGTGTAGAAGGAAGTTTATGGATTGTTAAGCTGATTCACTGAGATTATCCTGTGGTTTCAATTAATCCTATTACTATGCTTTTACCTATTCTTACAGATCATTGGAAGTTTCGTTGTTGGTATTTTTATTTATTTATTTATAGTTTTTTTTAAAGATTTCATTTATTTATTTGACAGAGACACAGCGAGAAAGGGAACACAAGCAGGGGGAGTGGGAGAGGGAGAAGCAGGCTCCCCACTGAGCAGGGTGCCCGATGTAGGGCTCGATCCCAGGACCCTGAGATCATGACCTGAGCCGAAGGCAGACACTTAACTGACTGAGCCACCCAGGTGCCCCTCGTTTTTGGTATTTTTAAATGGAAACCATTAAATCATGTGAGAAAATACGATCAGGAGAAGGAGTGTCTTGACATGTGGTTCTGAGGCAGCCTGGGGCAAAAATACAAAAAGACTCTACCGGGGCAAAGGGTTTTGTTTTTTTGTGGGGTTTTTCTGGTAAATCAACTCATCTGGGGCCATGGTCTTTCCTCTGCTCTCCTCTTCCATAGCGAGTTACTAGCAGAGAGCACAGTGAATTTGTAAAGCTGTTGAAATACCTAGAGGAACTCTGGATCCAAACTCTATTCAGGCAGGCAGTATGTAAGTTTCATGACTGGATTTAACTATACTTACTTTACTCCAGTGGCCAGATTTTTGCAGGTTAGCGCTTTCTTCTACCTGAGGTTGACTTGGTCTCACCGCTTCACCTGCTCCCGGGAGAGACTCTCTGCCCATTCTTGTTAGGCTTCATCCGTAAACCCTCAGTTTTGAAGTGGTATTTCTTCAGCAAACTGCCCAAAGGATGGGTCTCTTTTCCCAGAGATCCTCCTCACGTCATCTTTATTAATAGGTCACCGTTTCCCAGCTACTTTGTATGGAAGGCCCTTTCAAGGCCCTTTCAAGGCCAACAAGGTGGCTGGTTGCCTTCAGATCTGTTGGAGCAGACTCCCCCTGGGTTAAATCTCATCTCCTTATCTGTCTGC